GTTTCATCGTTGTATTCAAGAGGGTTATTCCTCTGTAGTTTTGTGGGCTTTTTTAAATATGGGGATTGTGATGCTCTTATGTCATTCCTCTGGTGTTTCTGTGTCGTTTAAGATTTTGTTAAATAGTTGTGCAATTATGTTCACAACTATTTAACAAAGCATTGATTGTAGCACTTGTATCTGCTTCGTATTTGTTTATATTCAGCGTTTCTTCAGCATCATATAGCTCTTTAAAATGATGTTGCCATGTCTCTATAGGTACTCTCTTGGTCTGCACGAACTCGTTAACTGGATTTTTCCTGTTCCGAAGCATTTTTTCGTTTGATTGATTTCATTCTTGCGTTTACTTCGTTTCCTACTTGGACATATTCTGCGATAGCTTCTTCCGATGTGTGCTTTTATATCTCAGGTAGCATTTGCGTTTTAATTCAGAGAGTTCTTTTACCTCTTGACAAAACCATGGTTTGCTGTGGTTTATCGCCCTCGTGTTAATTGTCCGCTTTCCAATTGCTTCTTCTGCTGCTTGGTTGATGCATTTCCTGATTTTTTGCCAAGTATCTTCTACTCCCGATTCTGGTTGTAACTCGATCTCTTTTAGTTTGCTGGTAATCCTGTTCTCATAGGAGTTTTGTGCTCTCTGTTGCTAGCGACTCTATATTGTGTTTTTCGATGAGCATTGAAGGTTTTCTGTTTCGTTGCGGACGTTCTAGTAGCATCTTGCACAAAACAAAGTTGTGATCGGTCCCCAGGTTAGTAGATGTTAGGGCTCTGACATCAAGTACTTGTGACAGTATTATCACTCGATTTGTGATTATAAAATCTATCATTGATCGCTGCCCTCGATTATTGGTAAAAGTGTATTTATGTTGGTCTTTATGAGAAAAGTATGTGTTGCCGATTCTCATTTAATTTCTAGCGCAAAAATCCATTAGTGCTTTGCCGTTTTCATTAATCATTTAAGATTTACTAAGATTCTTTATTGTCGGAATAAATTGGTGGAAGTGATTTTATAACATTTTCAATCGTTTCATGTATAGTATCAATTCTATATTATATATATATATATATATATATATATATATATATATATATATATTATATATATATATATATATATATACAGGTTATTTTGCATTTTATCCCTTTACCTAGAATTCTAGATATAGAGGGATTATCCTCCAGAAGAACTAGGCTGATATCAGAACTCACGTCACATATGAAATGATGATCTTCCTTGTCTGACATCTGCCAACTCCTTCAAATAGGACTGCTCTTTCTCGTACGACATGCTTTCACCCCAAAATTATAATGGTAATTAATGCGCAATTCGCAGAATAAAAATCGACATCTCCATCGATTGGCAATAGACCAGATAATCTAACCATGTCGTGTCCGCATTACTTCATCCACATCACCTGATTTGTCTGGAGGTGGAAATATCGTGGTGACACGTTGGACTCACGTAACTACTTTTCACTTTTTGTCTTTATTCCGGATAAGTAAAACAAACTTGTCGCCATGAAACCAAAACTCAAAATTACTACTAATTTTTAAGTTAAAACAATATTTTTTGGCCAATATTATTGTTGGGTATATATTTTTAGATGCATTTATGAGAAAGATTATAACGATCTTTGGAATCATTTTGTTTGTGTATATGGGTGGTACGCAACGTGTTAAAATAACTTGTGTGATTTTTGAAAAATTTCATATTTTCTAGCACTCTATCGTTGTTGTATTTTTTATACCCAAGTAAAAAATCATTATATTTATTAAATTTGTGATTGATATTCAAAGTTTTCGAACGATATCGCGTGCTATCACTTAAAAAATGTAGCCAGGCGTGAGGAATAGAAAAATATTTTAGAAACGTGTTATTTTTAGTTACAACGATAAGTAATCATTATCAACATTAATTTTTTTACAATGGTATATTAAGTACCGATGTAATAAATAAAGTAATTACTAAATGAACGTTTCGAAGGAAATAACAAACGCCAAAGACATGTTTACGATAGGGATGGTTAATTTAGTATAATATGCACTTATCTTTCGATAAATACATTTTTACGAGGGGAATGCGAAAAGTTATCGCTCTAGTAGTAAATACTATATTAAAGTATAGGTGGATAATATTGAGGCATATAAAACACGCGCGATTTTTCGAGCACGACAGCCAGCCGGAGTGCTCGAAATAGAGTAAGTGTTTTAAAGACCAGTAATTCACGAATACTTACGCTATTTTTTCAACAATGTGCCGCAGACAAAAAATCATTACTCGTAATAACGGTAACTTGGAAAGGATTTTTCTTCCTTGACTTGGCAATACATAATACTGTACCAATCAGTGGGATAAAAGTTTGTTGCGTTTTGATGTAATTTTCTGTAGAAGCAAAATCACAGTCATCGGGAAGAAAGGAATAACAACTTTGCATACACTTTTGGTCTATGATTTCAATATTCGTATCTTCACTTAACACTAATTTTAATAATGTCAGGGCTATTTTACAATTCGGGCTTTGACCGATACACATATCACTATACATAACAACATATTTTGCTTCCGACGCTCGTGTTTGTTTGTATTTGACTAAACTAGCGCCAATTTCTTGCGCTTTTCTAGATCCAGTCACTTCATACCATCAATACATGAATCCCTTTTTTGTTGAAAGCTCATGGCAACCTAAATTGTAGACTTCGCTTAGCTTTGAGAGACTATATTCGTCAAAAAACTCATTTTAAACTACACTAATCACAATTAACTATTCTTATGAAACTTAATGTGTCAAAAACTAACATCCACAGATACGTGTGAAAACAAAAACAGTTGCAGGAACAGTGCTGTATATCCGTTGTACTTCACTTTGGCTGTCACAGATAGGTGATTCCACTGACAACACAAAATGTGTTGCCTATCTAAATGGTTACTGTATGATTTATAACTTACTCCATTTGTGCTAATATAAAATACTTGATGCAGAACACGATTTAGACCTTAACTAAAATTAATGGAAAATTGAGGTACACCACTTGTTTTAATGCCCTCATATATATGTTCAAGCGAATGGAGTATGAGAATAATATGGGAATTAATATAAATGAGGAGGTAAAATGCAAACAAGCTTTAGTCAAAATAAGTAATTTTTCAGGGAGGGCTAAAAACTTGTAGCTTTGCTCTGAAAAAGGATAATAGGTTCTAATCAACGTTATGCAATAGTATTGGTTCCAAACATGAGATAAGGTACAAAACTTAGAAATAAAAAGAACAAGCGGCTTGGGCCGGACATGTTGCCAGATTGACGGATGCTAGATGGACTAGAAAGATTCTGGAATGGTGACCAATATAAGAGGCATATCGAAGCAGAGGACGAACGCCGACCAGATGGACGGATGATATAAAGCGCGTCACCACAAATTGGATGCAAAAAGCTAAAGATATAAATAGGTGGCAAATTTCACGAGAGGCCTACGTTCAGCTCTTCTTCTTACGGTGCCTTATCCTTAAGGACGTTGGCCATTACATTTGCCCATTTAATTTTATTTGTAGCAGCCCTGAATAGTTCTATGGAGGTCATGTTCGTCCATTGCCGTAGGTTTTTAAGCCAAGAATTGCGTCTTCTTCCTGGTCCTCTTTTGCTATTGACTTTGCCTTCGATTATAAGTTGGAGCAGTTCATACTTTTGATTTTTTATGATGTGACCAAAATATTGTGTTTTCCGTTCTTTTATTATAAGCATAAGCTCTCTTTCCTTATTCATCCTCCGCAAGACTTCCGCATTTGTCATATGGCTCATGTTGGATATTCTGAGCATTTTACGGTAACACCAGAGTTGGAATGCTTGGATTCTTTTTTGTGTTGCTTCTGTCATTGTCCAGGCTTCAACACCATAGAGCAAGATGGAGAAAACATAGCACTTAAGTATTCTAGTTCTCAATGAGACGCCCAGCTGGCGGTTGCATAGAACTTTTTGCATTTTGTAAAACATATCTCTAGTGAGTGGTCCCAAGTTTCAACAAGATTACTTCCAAGGTACGTTGTTCTTGTTACTCTTTCCAGATCCGTCGACATTGACCTTCACTCTTCTGTTTTGGTGCTTGCTGATGACCATCGTTTTTGTCTTCTTTGTATTCAATTTCATTCCAAATTCTCTACAGGCTGTCGTTACTCGGTTCATTAAGCGTTGCAGGGCTTTAGCATTATCTGCCAGTATGACAGTGTCATCAGCATATCACAGGTTATTTATACATTGCCCGTTTATAATTATACCATCCGTGGTGCCTTCCAAAGCTTTCTAAAATATCTTCTCAGAGTAAACATTGAACAGCAAAGGTGATAGGACACATCTCTGTCTTACTCCCTTCTCGATATTGATTTTTCCAGATGTTTCGCTTTTTATTCTGATTTTAGCCTTTTGTTCTTGGTAGAGGTTTGAAATGATCCTTAAGGTTTTTTCGTCGATATTACATGACATTAAAATATCTATTAGTTTATCATGTTTCACCAGGTCAAACGCCTTCTGAAAGTCTATAAAACACAAGTATACATCAGAATCGACATCTCTACATCTTTCAACTAGCACACGTATTGAAAAAAGTGCTTCTCTTGTTCCGAACCCATTCTTAAAACCAAACTGAGTTTGACCAGTGTGTTCGTCTAGTTTATGGTATACTCTATTGTGTATTACTCGTAGGAAAAGCTTCAACATATGATTCATCAGGCTAATAATCCTATGGTCTTCACATTTCTTGGAGTTTCTCTTCTTTGGTAGTGGTATAAACACCGATGTCAGCCAATCATTTGGTATTATGCCTGTTTCGTATATTTTGTTAAATATATCTTCCATTACTTCGATGTATTCGTCTAGTAATATCTTTATACGTTCAGCAGTTGACAAATATAGGTTAATAATTGATGATATGTTGAAATAAAGATATCTATAGCTGAATATTGTACGTAAAACATTTCTAAATTGTATTAAATTTCTTTCTTTTTTTTGCAGGCCGTGATACCTGGGACGAACGACCCTACACAAGAGAATCCGAAGATTGGGACGACACGTCAAACTCAACCAACCGCTACAGGGATAAATCGTACGAAGAAGACTACGATGTCGAGAAAGAAGACAGCGATTCGGAGTCTAAAAATAATAGTCACAATAATAGTATTAAAAAATATCAGGATACGGAGCTATCACAGAGTCCGGTGCACGTCGACAAACGCGTCAATATTAATATTAACACTTCTTTGAACAATTCGCCTAAGAAAACGATCAAACAGATAAAGAAGGTCGATCTGGGTGCTGCAGCTAACTTCGGAAGAGATGCGAGTCAGAGTCCTCTACCTCCAACAGGTAAAATTCAGTTTTTAAACTGTTCAGAGCCATACTTAAATCTTAAATATGTGTATTTTTACAGGAAGTAACTTGCTAAACGATGACTTCGACCCCAGAGCTAACGAACCAGCAAACGACGTCAAGGTATCGTCTGAATTCGGAGACTTCGAGACTGCTTTTGGAGGTACTACGAATTCTCCCGAAAAAGAAGATAATTTCGCTGACTTCAGTTCCGCCTTTTCTAAACCACCAAGCCAAAACACATCACAATACTCTGCTATACCAAATTTGCTGGGAACTACTCCGGACTCGACTCCTTCATTAAATAATTCTAATTTACTCCTCGGCAACTCTCCTCCCGAAAATTTGTTAGCAGGACCTCCTTCCAATTTCGGTGCTAGTACCTTTGCACCCATTTCGAATTTACCTCCAAATCCAGCTCCGATGTCTACTCCACAAAGCAATAGTGATTTATTAGGCGACTTAGACTTTGGATCTCTCAGTATGGAACCTACTCCAACTAATGTTCAGAGTAATAATAATTATGGATTGCTAGCAAATAACACGAACGACTTTATGAGCGCAGGTAAGGGACTTTTATGATTTTGTTTTATATTTATCTTTCAGATTTTTTTTTTCGCAAAATCTAACTAGTTTATATGTCCAACGATTAAGTTTAATCTATTTACACATTTTAGGACATCAATGTCCTAAAAAGTATATAACCTCTTAATTGTAAAATTTAAATTTTGACCAAGGTTAATACAAAAAGTGGTTAATACTTACTAGGTGTACATATATTGAGCCACTAAATATCTGGGTAAAAACACGTTGAAAGTTATAAGTTCCGTACCACTAGATTTAGTTCAACAAATTAAGATTTATGTAAATTTTATGTCAAGTTACGTTAAATAGGACATTTTCTTTCTTATATTATACAAAATTTTCCGGGTTAATATTTGGGAAACTCATTGAGATTTCCCGTTGCAGATTCGGAGCAAAAGAAAGCCGAAGGAGTGTTCAAAAAACAGTTGAGTGCTAGCTCCCAGAGACCAAGAAAAACCAAACTAGAAAAGGAAATCGTACATAGACTATCCAGCTTTGTTGCCAATTCAAAAGAAAATCCCAGATTGACAACCCAGGATCAAGTAGATGGCGTATTACAAGAAATCGAAGATATTCAAAAACTACTGCCAGGACCTTTGACGGTGCAAAGATTGTTAGAGGTGGACGCTGATGCTTTTAGTGAAAGTGTTGAAGCTCCATACGTGGCCTTTTTGGAAGCCTTTATCAGTTACTTTGATAGCAATTTCCCATTTAGAAACGGAAAGCTGTATGAGCCTATAAAAAGTTTGTTGTCAGTTGAGGACTACAGATTTTTTAATCTTAACTTTAAAATATTTGCCAAATCATTATCCCTCAAGGAAAAGGAGACCGTTGTTAAACTGCTGTTGATAATTTTGGATTCTGAAGGTTTCTTTGCTTTTATTTTCCGACATTCTGTAATACCCGAGTTGGAACATTTCAGCAAAGAGGAGAATTTTGATAACTGGAAAAATTTTGTTAATCTTGTGATTTCATTGCCCAATAGAGTTTCCAATACGTTAGAGGGGCGCATGCCGAGATTTTTTGTTATTAAAAACTATACTAACTATTTGCTGTGGACGTTTTTGAAAAATTTGGAGTTTATTTCAGAAATGATCACCAGGGAACCCCAAACAGAAAAAAATATTAACTATGACAATATGTCGATTTTTTTGAGTAAAGTGATGATTGATTTTAATGAGAATTATACTTCTGACGGCATTAACTTGTTTATAGAAGTAATAGCGATGTTAACTAATAAACAATCATCTAAAACACACATTTACCATCGAGTAGTGAACAATATTTTTAAAAATCTAAACCGTTCTGCTGTATATATTTTATCTAAAATGCTATTTCTAAATATAGATCCAGAAAAATATCTTATTAAAAACATTCTTAGTAAAGATTTAATCAAAAATGAAACGTGGAAATTTGTTTTGTGTACAAAAATACCACTTCTCACTCATTTTCAGAAAGATTACAACAATTTGATCGTAAATTTAACTGTGTATATCAGTAGCAGTGATCATTTTCTAGTAGTAAAACTATTATTGGACCTAATAACTGTTTGGGCGGACAAATCAGCTATTAATCGTACTAGTATTGAGCAACAGGTGTTCATAGCTCAGTTTATAGTGTATCTTCTAAATTCTATTCAAAATATAGGTTTGAGTGAGCACGAAATGTCTAAAATAAAGGAAAAGATGTTTTCTGGGATACCTATCCACTTGGAATCTAACATCGAAGTTGTCAGATCCTGCGGCATGAAAATAGGCGAGATTGCTTTAAATTTCTTAACGAAAGAAAGCAAGACCGATCCGGAAGCTGAGTTGAAGTTCGATTATGATAGTTTAAGTGAGCAGAGCAAGAATATTGTCAACAATTTGGAATCCATTTGGAACACTGACATTCAACGCTATTTTAAAACAAAAACCGAATTCGAAAAGACTGTAAAGGATCTTGTAGAACAATTATCAAATAAAGAAGATAAAGAAATCGAATATATTCCTCCAGAACGTAGATTTAGGAATAAAACCAAATTAGAAGAACCTAAAAACGAAATTACTATATCTAAATATAAAACTGATAGTAGGATTAAGATAATCGATAGTACAGATTTTCAATTGGACTCCGACGATGACTTAGAACCCTACGATTTGTCGAACGATGTTAAGGTTAACAAAAAGAACCCTCCTGCATATCTGAGGGATCTGCGCGAAGGTTTATTAGAGACTGAAGACGGTGAAGCTTTTATTTTGAGCTTGCAGGCATGTGAAAAACTTGTTTCTGCTCAATTACCTGACGATGATGCCAGTATCGGTCTGGAAATTTTGGAAATATTAATATCTCTAGAACCGAAATTCTATTTAGAGAATTTTGATGAATTAGTGTTTCAAAGTTCTGTCACCATAACAACAATTTACCCCTCATATTATGCTGAATATTTGTGCAAGCAGGTTCACGCAGATGTAGGGACGTACTCGATTTCTAGAAGAGTGTTTATGTTGAACGTTTTGAGACAAGCCGCGAGGAATCTGTCAGAAATCAAAATTCAAGAAGAACCAGCCAAAAAGAAATCGAAAATGAAGCAAGATGTAGAAAATGCTGAAGAAGTTATAAGGAAACGATTAGAAAGTAAAACGAGATACTTTAGTAAGCACAAAATTACCAAAAAGGAACAGGTAAATAAGTTTACTGAAGCAGCTGGGTATTTTTTCTTTCCTCTTCTATATGGATATACACAAAACAAGATGTTATCTCAAGACACACAAACTGATAGCGATTTTGTGTTTTTGATCCACTTCATAGAAACTTTAGCCGTAGTAATGTGTGCTTCTCGAAATTGTCCTGTAGCCCCCCGTATGGCCAAAGAAATCTTCCACTTTTCTTGGTTTTTGAGGTTCCATAAGGAGGTCAAAGTGCGCATGGCCGTTTTGAGCCTCATCGCTTCTGCCGTTATGAACGTTCCTCACAGTATTCTAGTTAGAGATTTCATCAACGAGTTGTTTGAAATACGCCTGTGGTTGTCAGATCTGTTAAGTCCTAATGTTGCTAAGGGGGAACCGAATTTGGAATGTCGGAATTTGGCAGCTTGTGCGATCGTTCTTATAGAAGGAGTTCTTAAAGTTGACACAGATAACGAGGAGACCATTTAGTATGTTTGTTGTATATATCGGTTAGCTATAAGCCATTAACACCACTGTCTTTATTGAATTCGTTATTTTCAAAGCTCTCTGTACATTTTTTTTAAATATATTTATTACTTCAATTAATTTCTTTGGTAGTCTTCTTATTTTTGTTCTTCCAAGCATTAATTTCCTTTTTTTTGTTCAGATTTTAGTTGGGAGTTTAACAGCTAGCCTAACAATATCTAATCTAGACGAAAAAATTTTACCAATAAACAGAAAATTCACTTCCATCCACTACTCTGTTTACTCTGCAAAAATATTTCACGTCTCTTATAGCACCGGTAAGCCTGTAAGATCCTAATTGGGGCCATTAAGACATACTTAAGAGTCACTCGTTTCTGAGCTCTCGTTTGGACTATTTATTATTGTCTAGAGTCTATTTTATTCCCAAAACATGCTGTCAAGCACTACAGTGCACCAATAGCACGTTAATAGTATAATCTCTCTTAGACAACACTTTGTACAATGTTATTATATAATCATAATGCATGGTTAAACATACACAGTGAGCGTGTATGACTTAGCTGTGGCACCTATCCCATATTCTCGGTTGATCCGCGAATGTTTTTGGTTATATCGTATGCACACCTCTCCTATACCTCCATAGGACGTCCCCTATTAGCCATTGGTACGCGCCGTTTCGGGGATGAGAAGTTTCCCACTTAGTCTATGCTGCATGAAGACCTACTCGATTTAGAAATCTTCTCAAACGGGTTTTCTAGGTCGACACTTTTTCCAGGTCCTAGATGATTTCTCAATGTCACCTGCAAGTCTTAATGCCTAATCTCTTTCCATTTTTTCTTCGTAATATCCCGAATAATATCCTCTTTTGGTCTTCAAATCATTTGGCAGGTAATTAAATTAAAAGAATGACTTCCCTGACATTCTTTGTACAAAAGGTGTCGCATCCTTTCCTATAGATATCTACAGCTCTAACTTTATTTCAGACGCCTTTAACAGTCTATCATCTAAAATTAGAATGGTTTTTCTATTCTTCACGTAGTTAGTGTCAATCAATGAAATTTTTCATTATTTCTAAGCAAAAGTAGTAATCCGGACCTAAAAAACTTTTGGGGTTAGGAAGATTGGTCTGAGTCAATCAGGGACGAATCTTCCGACCTCAATGCTCCCCAGGTTCTTCTCATCATATTACGCTGATGTGGTATGGGAGGCTACTGCCATAATTATGCTTCTCATATGAGAGCCCCGCGAAAGAGAACCCTCATATAATACCTTTACCAAGTAAAGAACAGCGACAGTGCTTTAGTCCCACTATCATCAACTTTTTAGCTATTTAAGACCATTTTTCTTGTATATTACCGTTCTCTTAAGAATCTCCAGTTTATTACAAAAACGTGATGCCATAATAAGATTGTTATGTTCTTAGTTAACAACAAAATATTTGTTATAGACATACAAACCAAATTACATTTCTAAGAATCTAAAAAATTTCCTTTATGTAATGTTCACAAAAGAAAACAGCGAGGTTGTTGTTTACTATTAGATATTAGGATTAAAAATTAGTTTTACTTGTATTTGTAGATGTTCTACTATTTTGTTGCTTCTTATTACTTTTTTTTTGTATTTGTAGACAATAAACATTTTTTCATTACTTTATTTTTATTTACCAATCTGACAATGAATTTTTCAAGTTAATAAAACAATTGATAAATATTAAACAATATTTATATTTCAATGATAAAATAATGACAAGTTTAATATGACTAACTGTTTGTTCGAGCTGGAGATGTTACTGCTTCGCTTTTAAGCTGAAACTGAGGCTGAAACTTATAAGCGAAGCAGTACTAATCTCAGAAGACAACGGCCTAACATTCCGAACAAACAGTTGTAACAAGTTAGACGATGGTCGTAAAAGCCTAAAGCATTTTATTAAATTTAATATTCTATTTTATGAAAATTAAGCACTGGCGGTACTGTAGACTAGCGCCAAGATTCATACGTTTTATGTATTTTTAATCTTTAAGTAATATTTTAAAATTGAATTAAGTTATTTTAATTATTTTTTTTATTTTACCATTTTTTACAATGATCGATTTACAAAGTTTATTTATTTTCACAATTGTTTCTACATTAAAAATCACATAAAACCGCTGTTAGTTAATATCCTGGTTGTAGATTTTAATAGAACTGAAAAAGTTTATATGTAGTATAACGGACTCTCCTCTTCGAGTAAATATACTCTTTCAACTACTCCGTGACGCATGTTTTCGTTTTCGAAAAAACTAAAAAAAAAACTACTTTTTGTAGTATAAAAAGTAGTATGTAAAAAAGTATAAAGTGGGAAAACTAAACATACAATTTTGTTAATTTTCTTAATTTTCTAAGATATAATCCTAAGAAATACTTACGAATTTTTTGAAAATTTTTGAATGTACAGTTTTGCTACAATAGGAAAAAATAATATGTTCCGCAGAAAATATCTGCATATTTCCGAAACATATGAAAAATCTCGTTAAACAAGAATTATATCCTGAACTGCCTCCATCAAATTGTATTGTAGAGAGGTGGCTCCACCTGAAACATCAGTATCTAATATTTATCATCGATAGATAGCATTACTTTCGGCTTCGAAACACTTCAAATTAAACGTCATATCATTAATGTTGCCATACCATTAATGTTTTTATTTATTGAACAGATACATTATTTAATTCTAATATAATACGAAGTTCGCCGGGTCAGCTAGTATTTGTATATTCGTATCTTGATAGAAAAAGTGGGTAATTTATTAATTACATTTTTACAGGTTCTGTGTTAACTCCTACTTCAATTCAACCACTCCAACCAATGTCTTCCACAACCAATAATAACAATACAGACAAACCGACAATAAATAAAAACTTACCAGTCGGTAGCACGTGGAAAAATTCCGGTAATATCAACATAGACTTGGATAATTTATTAACCAATAAACCAAAAACAGGTAAATATATCTACACATCTACATACAATACAACTAATATAAAATGAAATCGGAGGTTTTCATCGTCAGATTAATAATTTTTCATTATTTGTCTTTGGACTCGTGTATCGAGTTTTGGACCGAGTTTTGTTAGGACTCACTGCCTGGCTTTCTAATAGAAATTACCCCATACACGAGTTCTCAAAACAAGAAACAATTCAAATCCGGATAACGAATAATTGATAATACCTTTATTATAATTCATCCCTTTTTATTTTCATTTGAAAATTATTAAGCTAACAAAATGGGAAAAAAAAGTATTTTCTGTTTTCATTCACAATATAGTTTTTGCATAAACTTACGTCACGTTTTTCGGTGGTGGTATTACGATATCTTGTGCCTTACCAAGCCACTCACCTTTTTTACCTTTTTATTGTTATCATGCTCACATACAGTCCTGTAACATCGTTGTTGTCCTTTGATCATTGCTGTACAGTTTTACAAATTTTTCTCTTATTAAGTTATTCCTATGAAATGAATTGTATTGTTTTTTTTTCTGAGACATCTACCATCATCTTGCATATCTTTAATCCTTGATCATCTAAAACTACATTGGGTTTGGTCTTGATATATGCCAAGTCTTCGCCAAGTCTAACATCTTCTTCTACCTTTTTTTTCATATATTAAGATAATGTCTTGTTTTTGAAACTCTCTTATGAGTGGCAGGGACGAATGAAGAAATTTTTCCAATATTTCAACACTAATTTTGTAACGAAAGATACAGGGGCGCCGGCGTCAAGTCAAAGAGCAATATTTCTGGCGAAGAAACATTAAGGAATGGTGTAATATCTAAAATGTAGCCATCAAGACCCGAAAACGGCACTCTACAAAGGACTTTTGAGTATTTGACTCTACAAAGTGTTTGAAGAGTACAGGCAACGTTCAACGTGCGGTTAAGTACAAGACATAAGAAGAAAAAGAAGAATTCACATTTGTCATCTTTATTTGTGCAACGTTCACATCGGACGAAATAGTGATTTCACTTGTAGCAGTGCTCTGTATGGACTAGGCGGAGAAATTTTCACACCGTTCTCCATAAATACCACATTCTTACTTTCTAGAAAATTAAAGGAATATCTTGAATCCACAAATATACTTAGCTGACTACTTATTTACAAATATACTTAGCTGACTACTTATTTTTTGGTTGTGTCCTTTCAAATCATAATCTGCAAGAACGAAACACTCCCTGTAACAAGTGAATTCAAGTTTAAATTGGCAAAAAGGAAAAAGGGGCACTACGCTAAAGGTATCAGCACTTTCTGAAATAGTAGGTGAAAACTACAAGAAACCAATTGAAAAATAATTAGTTTCTTTCTAAAGTGGGGTTTGATATTTTTTTAATTTTTTTTACGTAATTATTGTATGAGGATAAAAAATAAACTGTTGTTTGCAGGTCCTTCCCCAAGTATGAACCAATTGGCCAGCAACCAAACCTCTCCAATAAACCAACCTCGGCCAATGAACGCGGGGATGGTGTCTCCGGGCTTCGGCACGCAACTGAACTTCAACAACGTGCAGGGTTTCAATCAACCCCAACAGAATAATCAATTCTTCGCCGCGTTCAAATGATTGACACTTCATAACTGAGGTTTTGAATATTGGCAAACCCATACAATGATCTCAGACGGCAATATACAAACATAAACACAAACAAAAATCAGAAATATTTTCATAGATTTAAAATAAATACGGTAGTTGAGGTTTACCACTAAATATATCTATTCTTTAAAAGAATAAAATAAATATATCAAAAAGATATTGTAGTTGGTTTTAGGTTTGATGCTTTCGGAATATTATTAACAATATATGAATTACGCGTTATAAATATCCACAAGGGTCCTAGTTATGAAAACGCAAAAAACTTGTAAATCAGCAGAATACTGACAAATTTTTATTTAACAGTGTGCTTAAGTGAAAAAAGATAGACATTTCGACACTTATTTTAAGTTCTTCGGGATTTATACATATACTAAAAACATTCCTAGGAAAATCTTATGTCACGTTATCTATTGCTGACATAACATTTGACAAATTAATGATCAAGAAGTGTAGGTCAGCCCGGTGTTTTGTAATAGTAGATACATTGTTTTCTAGGTTTTGGTCTGGCATTAATTTTTGCTGATGTTTCTCAAGCAACTGCGATAGTTCTCGTCAGTTCTGTAACTTACTGTAAGCAATAAGACTGACAGCAGGTTAGGTCCGTTGCTGTATTACGTTTAAACCAGAAAAGTATGTACCAACACAGTATATGGTCAGTTGTAAAAAAAATCATAAGTGGCGCTATCTATATTCAATACAAAGAAATAAAAACCAAAGAAAAAACAACCGACTTGTTGACCTATATCGATTGCCTTCGGAATAATTTTTATTTATGATTTGAAATAAGAGGTACGCACATTGGTACTCAAATTTATACATTCCAAAACAGATCGTAGTAAACCATGTACTTAAAAATGGTACAGCTATGTCACTACTTTGACATTCTAGTAAATTTCTTCAAGAACCTCTACAAAATTATGGAAGTTGGGTTTTTGTATAATTTTTTTTAACTCTTGATGTTCTTCGATGCCCAATTACCTGCCATATTACCCGTCAGTCCCGTACCAGTCAACCCGTCAAAATTCAAAATGGTGGACCATTTACCAAAGTCAGATGTCTTTACGGAAACATTCGACCATGTTAACTTTTCTGTATATGAACAGAAACAGTATATCAGCCGAACATTAATGTAAAGCATTACCTGTAAACACTGCAAACGACGGAATGATGCTTAAATACACCCGCTCAAATGGTTATAGAGGAATGACATGGACGACCTTCGCTTATGGTGGAAGATTTATCGCAAAACATAGTCTAGCAAAAACTGCAACATATACGGACAAAATGATGAAAGAATTTGAATCAACATTAAAGATTCTTTGTAGGAACATATGTAAAATAGAAAAAACACCTTAGCTGAATATCTAAAATAGTATATAGTGAGAAATCAGGGTACTGCTCATTTTTTTTACTTTTGTTCAGGCTTTCTACATTTCACACTCTCATTTTTGTCTCAAGGTGTAAACATTCGTGTTTATTTTGACTATGAAATGGCTTTTGGCAGTACTCTTGTCTGGCAACAAATACAAAGGTGGAGGAAGAACTACATTAATTAATTGCATAAAAAAATAGAACAGGATCCAAATTTATCAAGCCTTTAAAGTTAGCAATGTATTTTGTTATTTTTTTAATAAAGGCTCATATCGATATGGGACCATATAGAGAATGCTCAGACCACAAGTGTTCTACAAATTTACTATATCACAAAGAGTTATATATTTAAAAATTGTAGAAGTAAACACTATAAGCACCAATTCTTGTAATATCTAACGACTCTAGTGAACTTTATTCATCCTCTTCTTTTATTGAATAGTTTGTCACAATTGATAGTTGAAAGACACAAGTATAGAACAAGTCAGTGATGTCATTAAGGCATAGAAACCATTTTTTAAATCTACCAATAGCAATCAATTTTTAGTGTTTTCCCCGTTTTATATTTTCTAGGTTATGTGTCCTATCAAGTGGCTGAAGAGCTTCACCATTTTTATATGGTTGTACATAGAGGTGCACTGCTATTTCGTAAACTGCAACTTTGTCACTGCTACCAATATACCTAAATACAAAAAAACTACAATTTAAAAGAATTTTGCTAAATGTTGTCACATTTTAAAGTTTAATACTCGTACAAGTGTTTTGCTCTAAGGTTTAGTAGAGCGTGACGGTTAACGAATGACATCTTGGAGAAAAGATAAAGGGCTAGGAGTCGATGAGTCACATTTCACGTAAAATGTAATGTTTTACGTCACATTTGACATACAATTTCACATTCTACGTCAAAATTTGACGTGAAACATATTGCATGAGGTGTAACGGATAACATTTAGATAAAATTTCACGCTTTACATCACATTTTACGTCAAAATGTGACAGAACGTAAAATATGTCTTAAAACGTGACATTTAACGTGTGAAATATGATGTGGAACGTAACATTTTACACGACGTTGTGTTTCGTGTCATTTCACGTAAAAGCCTATGTTTCATGTCACATTTGACATAAAATTTCACATTCCGCGTCCCACTTTACGTAAAATGGCATATTCCACAGAAATGTCAAATTTTTCGCAAAATGTCACAGTTTACGTCAAAATGTGATTAGGAACGTGAAGTGTGTGGTGGAACGTGACATTTAACGTGTTACGCGAGTGATCTTTATTCAGAATTAACCACAATTTCAGTTGGCAACAAGTTTATTTTGACATTTTGATTTCTCGGAAATCAAACGGAAATCGTTCTCAAAATAGCGTAAAGAAATTTCCGAAGTGGCAATCGAAACGTTAAAATGGTCGAATTTTTAATATCACAAGACAATATCTTCAGAACCAATACGATGTGGCACGTGCCATTTTTAACAAACAAACTGGATATTTATCAGCGTCGGGAGCAGACAGGATAGAAGAGGTTATAGCACCATAGATCACATACAAGTAATAACAACACTAATTGAAAAATTAGAATCAAAATAGAAAATGAGATGTCACAAGCAATAGAAATACGTAAGAAGTACGACAGGGATGCATTTTGTCACCGCTGCTGTTTAATGTTTATAGTGAAAGCATCTGCCAGGAAACCCTTTTGCAAGCAAACGAAGGAATCGTAATCAATGGGGAGGTTGTAAATAATATTCGACACTGTACTAGTTGCACGAACAGTAGAAGAATTACAACGATTACTTACAAATATAAATATTGCCTGCAACAATTATGGCATAAATATCAATATAAAAAAAACCAAGTATATGGTCTTCAGTAAAAACACGACACAACCACAAATTACAAATACTTGGGGACTTCAATAAACGAAACTGGAGACCAAAACAATGAAATAAAAAGACGTATCGAAATTGCCAGGGCCATCTTCATAAATATGAGGAAATTCTTCTGCAACAGAGATATAAGCATCCCCTACGATTAAGAGATTAAGACGTTGAACGTGATATAATTACACTACTCACCTCCTTATATTTCCAACGAGGTAATATTAATTTACATCCGTCCAGTGGTTCGGGAATATGTTATTTTGGACTTTATTCTTTTTTTATACGATTTAATTTGGAGTTTGGCGCAGAAATCAGGATGTTTAACAATTTGTAACAGTGACAAAGTTTTAATCATAACGGACTATACCTTTTTGATAAAAACACAGTGTTATTTACATTTCAATACGTATTGGTTTGAAATTTAAAAACCAACTCGTCAAAAACGAGATAAAGTGAATTACATTACATTCCGATGTTCGAAAGCATCAAATTTAAGACTGCAGTTTTACTTGAAAACAGTCTCTAAATAAACATTAATCCTAAAGTGAGTTGTAACGAATAAGGCGATAAAATTTCAGGGTATCATCCGCATTTCGTCGACATTATTAGCTATATTGTGTTGCTGTGCATTTAACGTTATTCCATCGATATGTGTGTGATACTTTTAGTAATGATTGCAAAGTGATTTTTGAAGCATTTAATGAATCTGAACCTGAAAAAATTAAATAGGACAGAATCAATATTGTCATGCTGATACAAAAGATATAATATTTACATACAAAAGTACATATTTGTAATTCTAAGCAATTAATGCACAAAAAATGCAAATCTTTAATTTGACGTAATTCCTTCACCTAAATTGAGTAAATGAAAAAAAAAAAAAATATTAATAAAAGTCACTTCTTAGAGCTTCACAAATTTCTAAACGGCTGCAAAATGATGTCTCATGTTACTGCATGACTCGCGTTATCGATCTCAAAACTCTGTTAATCTTCATTTCATATGGTGATCGTATATTTCGTTGACATATCGCTGCCTGAGTATTACAAGGGTAAATTACTATTTAACTGGGAATAAGCCACAATTAAAGATAAAAATACGTTTATTGACGTTTCAATTTCCACTTCGGAAATCGTTCTCAAAATACAAACAGTAAATTAAACAAATTTTGTTTTTTGTTACATAGTGAAAAATTCTTCTAATAATTTAATTTTATCTGACTCATTTATATTGACAATTCAGACATACATTATGCATTTTAAAGTAGACGACTTTAAAATGATATTGCCAATATTGTTGAGTTGCGCTCCTGGGACGACTTTACTTATAAGATAGTTCATTCGATTACATGAAATCAACTTAAACTTGAGAATATCCGTCAGAAAAAAATCATTGCATGTAATTCGTCTTTAAAAATCAAAACTCTTAAAATAAAAGTCTTCATCAAAACTCTTTCCTCGACAGATAATGTCAAATTACATCACTTCTTAGACTTCCGAACTTGTATATGAGTCCAAGATTAAACTTGTAGGCCTTACCCATAGATGGCATTACTACAAATATTCTATTACTGGATTCGAAAAGGATTTTTTTAATTGACCACTTTGTTCTTCTTTATAAAAGCATTACACACACATTAAAGGTAGCTGAAAGGTATAAATTAAATTTTGTGTGGGTTTAGCTGTATGCAGTACTGTATAGGTAAAATCTAAAAGGTTTATAATAAGGTACTGGGAAACTTCGAGAAAATAAAAATGTCTGCAAATCTACATTCTAGGTTGCTAGAGTGTGTTTATTTGATTACTTCAGTTTGGCTATGCTACCTTTTTATAAACCTTGTATGGAATCCAAAGATACAGGATGTCCCAAAAACGATAAGGAATTACGACGTACTACCAATCCATTGTACTGATTGTAAATATTAGGTAATATGAAATGAAAACTAACAATTATATAGAATATATATTTAGTAAAGCCAATTTTGAAATATATTCTTTGTAGATTCGTTAAGATTTTCTGAAGAGTGTCCTAGAAAGTTACAGTGAGCGGTGATTTTAGTAGAATTTGTTATGTAATGTAGATGAAAAGATATCTAACGGGATTTGAATAAGAGTTTTGAAAGTATGTTGAAAGAATAAACTAAAAGTATAAAGTAATAGCAAAACAATTATCCATGCAGGTCAGTTTCAATGATGTCATACATAAGTGTACATTGTTTCTATTTGTACTTACGAAATCACTTTACAAAACAGTCATCAGACCAATAATGACATATGCGGCAGAAACAAGACCTGACACAGAGAGGACAAAAAGGATGTTAGAAACAGCAGAGATGAAAACAGAAAAATTAATGGTAAGGCACTAGGGACAGAGCTAGACGTACAGATATACGACATAAATGCAAGGTGGAGAACATCAAAAACTGGTTAAGAAATAGAAGAGTAGAATGGAACGATCATATAAGCCGAATGACAACAAATAGAGTAGTAAAGACGGCAAGAGACGGTTCCCCAATAGGAAGATGATCGGTTGGAAGACCACGAAAACGATGGAATGACAACATACTGCTGGCACATTGAAAAACAGACAGAATTATGTCTATATAAAAAGAAGAAGAGAAGAAGAAATCAAAACGAAGAGAACTTTTCATTTGAATAAATGCAATTCTTATCGTTTACACAACTTGTTGAGAATACTTGTATTATTATATTTTGTTATATATATTAAACAATCGAAACTTTTAAGAAAAACTACAGTACGACCAGGATAGCAATAGACGTGAACTGCGCGTTAACCGTTGTAGGGCTGCAGAATTCATTTGTGGGTGTAAAGCAAAATACCGAATTATGTCCTACGTCACAACATAACCAGCTTGGGTTTATTTTGCTTTACACCCACAAATGAATTCTGCAGCCCTACAACGGTTAACGTGCAGTTCACGTCTATTGCTATCCTGGTCGTACTGTAAATACATGATAGTTAGCAAATAAAATTATATACATGATGACGATATAAAAGTTGGATATGCTGTAGTAGACAGAGTAGAGAAACTAGTGTATCTCGGCAGTAATATCAATGAGAGCTGGGATCCAACTGTAGAAATTAAAAGCCGAATATAATGAGCCTGAGCTACATTTGTAAAAATAAGGAACGTACTTTGCAGCCACGATCTTAGTATTGACCTTCGCGTTCGAATAACATATTGTTGTATTTTTAATATTCAGTGCTAATGTATAGAGTGGCAGTGGATCTAGGTCCAAAAGCACAAACAATACCGCGTAACTACCACTCGATTTGTTACATCAAACATGTAAGTTATATTTGTTTCTACCTCACATGTGTTTGGTAGTGGGAAGATCACGTGGGCAATAAACACCGCCCATTAGAAAGAGATGCAGGGACTGCTTTGCATGATTTTTCTCTGTCGCACTGGGAGAACGAGTCTATATTGCACCAGTCTAGGTATTATATGTCTCTGGAGAAAACACCTAAGCTAACTTAATGTTTGAACAAGTGTAAACATTATTAAGAATACAACAACAAAGCTTGAAGAAATATGTTTCCAAAAAAGGGAGGAGTTTTGCTTTGCGGTATTAATAAAAACACATCCCAACTCTATAAATAGTAGTAACAATTCTTAAACTATCATTTTCTCTTCATAAGTTAAATGTTCATTGGCGTATTGATTTTACAATGACATTTAATGTTTTTGAGTACTAATTTAAAATAAATTTTATTTTATTGAGAATATGAAGACTAAGTAATTAAAATAATTAAACAATTATCAATCACTAGTACACTTTCCTCTTTCCGGTAATATGTCTACGTATATAACTTTTTTATTCTTTATTTACGAGTTAGTTGTCGTTTTTGCAATGTCATTATGCGGAGTTAGTAGTGTTATTGAGATTTTCCATCTATGCAGCTTAAACATATGTGAGTGAATGAAATAATGTGTCAAAATCGTATTTTAATATGTTTTTTTGTATTAAAATAATATATTCGTCTAACTAGAGTATTTCTGTAAGATTGATCATTTTTATAAATGAAGAATTGTTTGCAAATGTGAGTCTGTTTTAAATAGGTAAAAAATAGAAAAGAAAAGACTTATAATCGGTTTTGTTGCAACTTGGACAACCGATTTCGTGGTTTACAACTTCAGTTCATCGTCAGGTCTCCGATTAAAGTTACTTAACCACTAAAAAAGAAATTCTATAGTTGTTATAGGGTTTTTAAATATAAATTAGGCGAAAACTGACTACAATAAGCACAAATATACTTACATGAAAGGTAAAAGAGACTGGTATACTACCTGCTTGATTTTATCAGGTGGAGTGCTGATGGAGAAAGGAGAAAAAGTGGATTTTTATAAAGTTTTAATACGATAAATAAAATAACTTTATTGTTATTATTTCAAATATATAATTTTTGGATTTGAATTGATCGGTATATAAACTTTGTATGGGACATCCTGAATTTTCCTTGCACTGAGATTAATTAGCCAATTCATCTTGCTTTGTGTTAGTAAGTTTTTAAAATAATTTTTGCACATATGTTTTGTATTATTTTGTATAAAGTTTTAAATAATGCTCATTGCTGGGTGCTGGGATATATTTTAAACAGTTAAATATTTTTAACATTGTTATTAATTTTAGATTTAATTGATCGATTATATTTTTTTGACGTATCTATATTTATTTTTATTAGTCACTCGTTTATATTTCAAAGATTATTCGTCTTTCCCTACTAAAAGGTACAAATAAACGTTTAATACAAAAAACTGCGTAAACTCATTCTATATTTTATCTTTGTTTAATATTTGTACATAATGCAACAGCAAAAGTGTACAATTAGGTCGGATTTTTTAATAATTACTAGCAATATAGCTAGATATCAACGTCATAAATATAACTACAACCTTAAGATGGGACACAAATAGAAATAAGGTCTAATAGAAGAACCAAAGGAAGGGGATTCGATTTCATAATTATAGAAAATTATTTTTAAATTAATGAAAACGATTTATTATACAGCATAACAACAAATTATAAAAACGCATAGAATATGTAATGTTAAAAAAAAATATCATTGAGTGGCATCCTATTTATTTTTAATTAAATCCAAAATTCTTCGAGGCATAGTTTTTACCAAGTTCTGGCTGGTTTTATAGCTGCCCGCTTTAGTAGGCTCCTTCAGTGCTTCCCCTACTTGGAAAGAGCCTCCTTGCAAGTGATACTATAAGAGCAAAATATGATACTTCTTGGAAACGTGCTTCGGACGGCCAATCCTTGCACCATTGGATCTAAACAATTTTAACTAAAAAAGAAATATTTGGTACAGTTCAAATGCTTTTTGCGTCGTTTCGAAATCGTCGACAAAATAAGAGCGTATTGTAGAAGTCAAATAGCATACACAAAATTATGCATCATCAAAGTAAGCAAAAGCTGGCTAACAGTAGAGAGTGATGACAATTGTTTTATGGTGTTCCATAAAATTGCCTTGGTCAACAACATATAAAAGGAGAATATAGACAACTTATAAAGGGAGTATTGTGATAATTTGTTGCTCCTAAATCGCTAAATAATTTGATAAAGAAAATATTTTTTTTCCATCAAGCAGGTGCATCTCATACTCATTTCAAAGGCTATATTTTTTTAACAAGTTCTTTATGTAGTGTCCAGCCTTCAATCATGATGTTATACCCAGGTTCACCTTCATCTACTTCTAGCCATTGTAAAACATTTTCCTCAGCTACATGTTCTCCGGCATTAGTATGTATTGTCCTACAGAAATCAGTAACTTTCAGACCTTCTAAATCTGTCTGCATCTTGGGCATCCAACAAATTCTTCCAACCATTTTTTAATGTTTGCTCTTTCACTTCCTCCCATGCTGCAGCAAAATTAAAAATTGTTGATTTTAAATTGTAAGACCTTAAGTTTTGCAAGGTCCGCTGCCTTCTTGTATCTTCTGCAATATCTCCATCGTGCAATACAACCATTACTTAGTCTAAAAATTTCTGCGATATATTCGTTTGGTTGCCAAAAGTATTTGATCCATGGGTTGAAAAGCGATGTATTTTTTTTTTGTCAAAAACGAGGTAAACCATGTTCCACTTCTTGGAGCTATAATATGAAACGGGCGGATGATGCATTATATCTTTTAAAACTATAGGTGTACGAGATTTGACAACCATTACAAGAGTCAATCTATGCGATCCATCGGCGTTAGCACAAAACAGTGCCGATACCCTGTCTTTGCTGATTTTTCTTCTAGAATTGTATTTTTCATATCTGGAGGCTTGTGTGCTTTCAGGTAAAGTACGCCATAACAAACTAGTTTCATCAATATTACAAATATGAGATTCTAATAGCATTTCGTTACTGATATGTTCCACTAATTTTTGCCTAAAAAGTTTCATTTCTTCTTTTGGTGCACTTGAAGCTTCGCCGTAAACCCTTTTATTAATGATTCCGCGTCTTTTGCGAAAGCGCCAGAGCTATCCAGCACTTGCTCTGAATGGTATGTCCATACGATTTGCTAATTTAATTTCAGCAGATTTCAATTCGACTGCCCGGACCGGCACCCCACTGAAACATTGTTGACCGTACCATTTTAAGATTGCTTTTGCTAGTAAAGTTTCAGGAGGTTTCAGTTTCTTTCGTTTTCTGAGGTTGCTGTTCTCTCCTTTAACCACACATTAATGCAAATTTATTTATTTTGCTCTTGTTTTTTATGTCCGAAACAGTTTGCTTTTTTATGCCATATTGATCAAATATATGAGACACAGACGTTCCAGACACAGACTCCAACTTTTGTAGAATCTTTAGTTTTTGATTGATCGATTTCGATTGTTTCTTTTCAGTTTGTCCATATTTAAAGGGAAGGAATGCAAAAATTTTAACCTATTTACTGGCGTACACTAAATGTGTTCATTCACAACGAATAAACTAAAACTGCTGTAGAGTGGTGAGTAACCAGTGTGGTAATCACCCATATAATAATATAAACCTACGCGGTATTATATCGTAATTAAGAGTACGTTTTTATTTTTTTGGCATTTGACCGAATTTTTTGTCCGTTATATCCGAAATCCGTTAAATAGAGGTCCGTTATATCGAGGTTTTACAGTATTGTTATACAGTCCGAAAAATGAAAGATTAACCATGAACGATCATATCAATCATTTATTTTGTATAATTTTCTGTCTTTTTATATAAATAACAAACATTTGTTATAGAAAAAGACAATAAATACAAAATAAGTGATTGATATGATCGTTCATGGGTAATCTTTCATTTTTCGGACTGTATAACAGTATTAATCTTTTTTTATTTGATCTCGAAGCTATAAAACGTTTAATATAAATCATTTACACATGTGTTTTGCCAAAGTAAAAGTTGGAGTACGTTCTTCAAAGATTATTTGTTTGCGATTCGAGTTTATGCATAAGATAATTGACTCCCAAACCTGAATAAAAATATTAATTAAATGTTTGTTTTTTTGCAGTAGTTTGTGGTTGCAAGGTCGGCAGAGATCTGTAGTTGAGGGTGAGGCAGTTTTTGGAGCTGGTCACGTTAATTACGTCTTACGTTTTATACTAATAACTTCATGAGACCGTTGTGGCAATTTAGCTGATGGAACCGCAGTTTTCTTCAGTCTTCTCAATTTAGTTTCAGGTGTTACTATAAAGTAAATTAAGTATAAATATATTAAAATATAAATAATATTTTAATCAACAGTTGGACACAGAATAATAAACAATCAGAATGCCCACTCTCAGATGCCGCCTTTGAAGTTTTTCAGCACGCGAGCCATGTTTTAGAAGGAAACACATAACACAGACATATGATTTGTGAGGTTATGTAATTGTTTATATTTATGTTTAATTATATTTTATTTATGTTAATATATTTAACAATGTTAATTTAATTATATAGTACGTCTATGACTGCCGTAAGTCAATTACACCGGGTTAATTTTTCTATGCACACCACATAAACAACACTGGTTCCCTTTAAAACATGGCAGAACGTCTGTGCGAACGAGATGCGCGTACTTAATTTTCCATGGAGAGTGGGCATTCTGATTGTTTATTATTCTGTGACTGACTTGGAAAGTAATCGTCCTCAGTAAAATGTAAACTGCACACAGTCATGTTCTTGGATATAGGTTTGTCAATACGCAAAATGCATTGCCAAACTTTTCACATATTCTCGTCCAGCGGAAACTCATCTATGAATTTTTTTTATGAATTATAATAAGATGATCATTGAAGAACACTGCAATAGTGCAAGTCGAAGTGGATGTTTTTGAAATCTACCACCAGGCGTCGCCCACTTTGCGGTTCCTCGCGAATAATAGTAAGTTTATTTGAGCTGTTAATAGTGCGAGGCAGGAATTTTTGTGTTATGGATTTTCGACTATGAATCTATCAAAATATTCCCGAGCTGAGCGACTGGACTATACCTAGACTCATTATTAGCTGATATAATAAATTTAATTTCATTGAAAATAGAGGATAATTACGATTAATTTAGGTGTATATTAATTCATTTTGATTACGACCTTCCTATTTATAAATTCTTCTTCTTTTTGGCATCATAACCCTGGATGGGTCTTTGCCTGTCTGGGTCTTTGCCTGTCTGGCTATGTCCTTCCATTCAGATCTCTCTTTTGCCATTCTTCTCCATTGTCTTATGTTCATTGTTTTCAGGTCGTCTTCCACATCATCCAACCATCTCGTTCTGGGCCTTCCTTTTTTTCGCCTTCCTATGGGATTCCATTGTAACAATTTCTTTGTTGTTTTTGCATCGTTTTGTCTCTGCACATGTCCCAGCCATGACAGTCTTTGACTTTTCACAAATCCTACAATGTCATAACCTTCATTTAACTCATTAACCTCGTCGTTTCTAATGATTCTCCATGTGCCATCTTCCTCTTGTACCGGGCCATATACTTTCTTATTTATATATACTTTCAGTATTTTTCTCTCGAATGTCCTGAGTTGGGCTTCATCTTTTTTCGTCATTACCCAAGTTTCACATCCATAGGTTACTACGGGTCTAATCAGTGTTCTGTAGATAGTCATTTTGGTTCTTTTGTCTAATAATTTCGCTGTCATCAATCTATTTATAAATACCAATCTATAAACAACTATACAATTGATGTAGTTTTATTTTGTTGATAAACTGAATGTGAATAATTTTTTACTTTTAATTACAATTAATATTCTCTATGAACACGTGTGCTTGGTTGTATAGTAACTTCCAGTCGAAGTCAAAATTTGACCAACGTAACAAAAATTACTTACTAAAGTTACTAGTTGAGACGGGGTTTAGTGAATGGAGCATAACGGCTTTCGTATGATCATCGCTATAACTAGTGGGAGGCAAACTGCTCTGCATGAAATACAAATATATATTGTCTTACTAAAAACGACGAATTAGTGAGTCATTACGTGTTAGAATATTTTATAAACGCCAATACATGTACATTTTGGTAAGGGAGTCGATATGCCTTTTATTCTATTCGATATATTCCAATTGATGTAAAACCGTTCTAGATGCTTCCGTACCATGTTTTCTTAAAAAACTACAGAGTAAGAGCAATATTTGATGATTTGTTCAATTTTTTTTAGAAAGAATAAACTATTTTAAACAATTTTTTTTCTTTCATTTGTTGGTCTTATTCAGCAGATATAAATTATTTAAGCCGATGTGCCTTATAGGTGTAACAGTAACTGAATGTCATGATAGTGTAGAATTAAATGTGAACGTACGTTACTTTTCGATATATTCTGCTCATTTATTTATTGTAGATCTTTGAAAAATAAACTGTTGTGAAAATAAATAGTTTTTATTGATCTACAAACATTTTTCTGCATTTTAATAGGAGTAATATCCAGGAATAACTATATTCACAACTTGAGATGTGTAGACGATACAGTTATCATATTCGTCGTTAAAGAAACCTGATGGACAGATATTGTAACCGTTATGAAACATTGTCTTAACGTTTTGTTATTTGTACAAAGCCACATTAATTATGAAAGGTTATTAGCGAATTATGAATAAATATATGTAAGAGAGATATCTCCCTTACATATCTCTGATGATGAAATATGAAAGATTACAGTACAAGTTGTTTTAAAACAACAGTGAAAACTTTAAGTAATTTAAGATTTATGACGTCAGAACACCACTGCGTTGCCAAAACTTAGAATGCTAAATAAATGTATACTCGTGGACTTTAACAAGAGCTATGACGTTGTAAATACTTGCGCGGAACTAAATGGCAACAAGGTACTGGGACCCTAAAATGAAGACTGAAAAGGTCGGGCCCTCTCGTTCGGTAGAATACAATTATTCTTATAGCCTAGGCGAAGTAGGTTGAAAATGATATTATAATTGTATTGCAAAATATAATTGTCCAAATTAATATATCTAGACAAACTTTTTATTTTAAAATCTCATTCACATATACTTCATCTAATTTACTTACCGTTGCACGTCATTCGCGTCATAGCCCGTGAGGTCACATGATGCCAACATGAAATATTTAGGCGGTAGGTGTGTTCTTTTTTAGAATCACTTTGCCGAGTACACTGGGGCGGTAGGTGTGTTGAAATAATATCTAAAGGTTTCCATTAATGTTAACTTAAAGAAATATACAATAGTATGTTTCATTTAATTTGTATAAATGTATTATAAATCGTTTTTATGAAGAACATTTGTTCGGAACACACTGTAACTGTAATCGAACGAAGGTGATATTTTGGCATAAATTGGTAACACTTATTTGACAGTTGCGGTATGACTGAGATGTGTATATTTGCAGACGACATAGTATTAATTGCGGAAACAGCAGAAAAACTGAAATGGAACAATGGACAACTTGGAGAAATGGAACCTAGAAGCAAGCAAATACAACTTAAACGTAAACAAAGAGAAGTAATGATAGACCAACAAAAAATAATACAGACAAATTCATACAAATACTTAGGAACAGTAATCAACAACAAAGGAGACATCGAGGACGATCTTAATAACAGAATGGAAAACTATTTCAAGCATTAACTAGAGGATTCCTTAATAACAAAGAAATATCAACAAAGACCATGATGACAATATACAAAACAATATATAGACCTAGAGTGACATATGGAGCAGAAAATTGGATATTAAACAAAAGGCATCAGAGCAGAATTCAGGCAGCAGAGATGAAATACCTCAGAAGAACGATCGGAGTAAAAAGAGCTGATAGAATCAGAAATGAAGAAATATGAGAAAGACTCAAAATCACACCGATACTCAACTCAATCAAGGAGAAAAAATTGGCTTGGTTCGGATATCTAACCCGGATGGACAATAATAGACAAGTAAAAATAGTGTGGGGCGCCAAACCAATAGAAAAGAACAGAAGAGGAAGACCCATTAAAGAACGGAACAGTGACATCTCGCAGATACTGCAGAGTAAGGGTAAGACTTGGCAGGAAGCAACACATATGGCATTCAATAGGAAGGAATGGAGAAAGTTCGTTAAGAGCTAGGACACCTCAGATTGTAAAATATTGTAATTTAATGAATTGTATTATAAACGGTCCAACGCCGAAAGGTACAAATGGGTGTACTGATTAAGTAAAGTTTATTAACCTTAATATCCAATTTGTACACACCATTGATCAAGTCAGCCTTTGCGATTAGTTCATAATTTTTGTTAAGGGGACAGTCTCATGCGATTAAAAAAAAAGAGACACATTTTAAAATTAATGCAGAAAAAAAACTATAATATTAATTAACATAATTCCTTTTGGAGATGATTAAGTAAGTCTTGAAGTACATAAAAAAAATTTTAATAGCGATTTTAACTTCATTGGTGTCCTGTAGATGGCGTGTAGTAAAAAGTGCGTTTTTGGTGGTAAGACACTTTGTGGGTCACCTGTAACAGATATTTAAAAAATTAAAAATGGGTTGAATTCGTGAGACTCAAAACTAGATGATAAACCTTTAAAATATGCAAATTGTATTATTTGAAGAGTTTATACTTGTTTTTTCAAAAAAGTCGAAAAATCGCTATGTTTTTGGGTGGATTTACCCATATATAATAAAAGGGGGGGTGGTTTTTAAATATTTTAAAGGTTTATCATCTAGTCTTTTGTATATACATTCAAAAAATTTTTGGTTTTTTAAAATCGGTTAAGAAGGTTCGGAGAAAAGTGTCTGACCAGTTTGAAAATGTTACTTTTGAGAAAAAAGCATTTAAAGTTTTTTTTACATAATTTTCGTGAATTAAAGGCTGATAACTTTATACTCACGTTTAATCGGCCATTCCTGGTGAATATTGAGGTCCCTCTTCATCCAACAGTTGTTGTAAATGGCTTTGTAAAGCTTTTTTCTTTTTGATTTGATGTTTTATAATTAATTCATTAGTTCGACTGGAGTCTCAATTCACGCCGCGATGCTGACAGTGTAAGTGTAAAAACGGAACACACCTTTATAACTAAAATGGTAAAATGGTTATGTTTTATTGCCAAAACGGCGTGAAAAAAAAAGTTGATTTCTAAAATTAAAAATAAAAAGGAATTTTAAAAATAAAATAATTATATTACACTCTTTTTAATTTGAAATTATAAACAATATTTGGAATAATAAATGTATTTAAGTATAAATTGTATAACTTAAATAATACCTAATGAACACAAACAAAATTGATGTTAATAAAACATTATTTATTATCTGCACAAAACCGGACTTTCAGGAAAAATCGGTAGACGGAGCAACACTGTCGGCAAGCCATATACGCTACTACAAACCGCTGAGGAGAAGTAATAGTAATCCAGTGGAACAAATAAATTAGTTATAAAACATCGCGACGTTATAAAGAAATTTACACTGGTTAATTGAAACGCAGAGAATCTTAGTATTTGTAAAAAATCCTATGTTCCGGATTTTAAATTCCAAATGTGTATAGTAACTGCCAAACGTTATACAGATATACATACTATATAAAAATAAATCACTAATACATACCCAACGTATATACAACATATAAACAAAAGCAAGAACAGCTGGAGCCTCGCGCTCACCGCGCGGAGAGAAACCGGTTTTCATACGTGCGTATCTGACGTTAATTAAATAACTATAACTTATATTCTAGTGGGAATTTCTTTTTAAAATTTTAGGAGGGAGTTTTTGAATGTAAATGGAAGCGATTTATGTAAAAAAAAATTTTTTGATTTTTTGAAAGTTTCGCACGAGACTGTCCCCTTAAATATTTTAAGATTTTATAGATTCTAGCTGAAATCCTAAAGGCCGATTCATATTATAGCTCAGGTCACGCTCCGCTCACGCTAAGCTCAAGGTTCGGTCAAGTATTCTTACACGCATCTTAAATGGTGCTATTCACAGTAAGCACAACGTTCACGTTCCGTCCCGCTCTTTTGACCACGGCGATTCTCCAGGAGAATAGTTTGATCGTGACTTGATCTGAGTGGAGCGGAGCGGCAGGGTAGTGTGAATGTGAATTAAGGTCGATTCAGACACATCAGTCACGTCTCGTCACAGTGATTGCGCCGAACCGAACAATCCGTCATACAAAATATTCTTTAATACAAAATGTTGCCGGCATTCACACTCATCAGTAGACAAACAGTTTCCCAGCTGTCAGATAGTTGATAGTTCTGTGACCAAACAGGATCGGTTCGGCGCCGAGACTATGACGGGACTAATGTGTCTGAATCGACCTTAAGTAACAGTCAGGTGAAGGTACGATTTTCGCAGCTCGATGGATGACGAACAGTTGATTGAATTGGTGCGCTGCTGTAAGGAATTGTACAACCAGGGAGATAGACTGTATTTTGATACGGTACATAAAAATAAAAGATGGAAGGAAAGTGCCATTAAATAAAACAGGTAAGCATTGACTGCATATTTTTAATTAAGGTTATAAGTGCATAAAATTGTTAGAAATAATAATTATACTAGTTTTGATAACTATTTATGAATTTGCCATGGGACACTCCCAACATCAGAGTTAAAAAAGTTTTTGAATATTTCTCGGACGAGAAACCTACTTTCATGAGCATTCCCTCCTTGTCTTGGCAATGACGAAAACTAAGTCCGT